CGAGCCACTGCTACTTCGTTCAAAAACATTTATAAACTCTGATTTCAAAGCATCAAAGGTGCTTTTAATGCAAACAGGTAAGACCGTTTGTACACGTGCATCAACTTTTTTATTCGTTCCCATGTCCCGGCTTTTAGCACTGATACTAGGTACACTAAAAAAAGATTAAATCGATGCAATTTGGCTCAATACTCTGTTTGGCGCGAATTTTTCAACGGGCGATGTTCGTGTGTGAATTTTGTGTGCACTGAAAAGCTGTTTTAGTGGTAATTTTTCATTTAAGGTCAATTCTTTTTAAGTGAAGCGGACAATTAAAAAAAATACATAACATCACGCCTTTTATCCCCGAAGGGGTAGGTAGAGGTGCACACAGAAGTAACACCCACTTTTCACTATTTATGTAATGAGTCCCATGTAAAAGGGGGTGAGCCTATTGCTATATACCGGGCACATTTCCAGACTCCGTGCTACTACTGAGATGTTTTTAAAAACCCAGTAATACTTTGCCCGACCCGGGAATCGAACCCAAGACCCCTTGCCCACTGCCCAGTCGCACTCGCGACCACTAGGCCAATGAGGCAGTCAGTTAAAGCAGGCATTTAAAAAAAATATTTGGATTGATATATATAACAATCAAACTAAACGTGTTGGCAGACTCAAAACAATTGAGGAAACTATTTTGAAAACGTTTTTCATAAGTCCCCTATTAATCACCCCCTATTACATGGGACTCATAACATAAATAGTGAAAAGTGGGTGTTACACTGTACAGTGGCATAATGTACACCTCTGCCTAGCCGCCGTTTTGATGCAGTTTTTTTTAGTATATTGAGTGATTCTTACGGATGGTTTATGTGTATAATACATGCATATTCCATCCGTGCGAAGCCGGGGCGGGTCGCTAGTATTTTATAAATCTAAATAGACATACATACTATATAATATAATAATTATACTGCTAAACGAATATTTATACCTACTAAATAAATATTACAATACATTATAAAAACATAACATAACATCACGTCTTTTATCCCCGAAAGGGTAGGCAGAGGTGCACATTACGGCACTGTGCCCGGTATATGGCAATAGGCTCACCCCCTATTACATGGGACTCATAACATAAATAGTGAAAAGTGGGTATTTTTTGTAAAGAAGAAATAAAATTAAATAAGTCAAATATTTATACAACACGAATTTAGTGTAAAGGATTCCGTGTGTGCAATATCTTCGTACTGGTATTATGAGTGAATCTCTATTTACTTCTTTGGTAAGAGAGTATGTTAGTTATTTTTGCGTATAATACGTAAAGGGGTCTTTTTTAATAAAATTCTATCCAACTTCAGCTCTTCCAGGTACACTAACTGAATACACATTTTCTAGAACAGTACCTACTCTTTCTCTCAATACATTGCATGCCCCGACTCACAGTCGCACACAAGTCTCCCATACACACAACATTGAATAAAGCCCACCTACGCCATTATATTCCACGGTCACTACGTTCTTTGTCCACAGAACGCGTCAGTGACTCCGTACTGATTCCATGCACGCTTTGAAACGAAGTGCATCGAACCGGGTGGCTACCCAGAAACTACGTGAAAAACAGAAGCGGCCATTTTTTCGTTGAAATCCTTTTTGTTTGAAGACTTTTTGTGTAGCCTTGTGAAGTGCGGCTTTATGGTGAATTTGGGGTCATGATTAAAATTTTTGAAAAGAGATATTTAAATAGTTTAGATTTAGAAGTAAAATCCTTTTTTTTTCAGAGCAGACGGATCACCTAATGGTAAGCAATCGGCGCCGCCCATGGACACCGGAAACACCAAGGGGTTACAAGTGCGTTACCGGCCTTTTGGGAATTGGGAATTTGATGGAGAATTCGGGGATTCAGGACACTAGGGAGGGTGGGAACCTTACTCATACGACGAAACACAACGCAAGCGTTGTTTCACGTTGGTTTTCTGTGAGGCCGTGGTATCACTCCGGTCGAGCCGGTCCATTCATGCCAGTATGACTCTCTCACAAAATAATACTCTGTCTAATCTGTCTTTATAAAATAAAACCACCACTATGGTCTGCATACTTCAGAATACTGGATCCCGACTGCAGGGCCACTATTCTTCAAAAATATGTCTTAGTAAAGAAGTACATTTTCAAGTGGAATTTTCCTTATTTGTAAACAGTTATCGTGCTCGTTTTAAACTAAGTTTATACGTTAAACTTGGTTTGTATGAAGTAGTCGGTTTATCGCGGGAAACTTGTCATTACCCCCGAACTGGGGCGACGTGTGGACCGCAGGGTGTACAACTTTTAATAACTTGTCGCGGAAAAACGAAGTGCACTGTGTGTTACATAGTAGGTAGTATACATTTTACGACATTGATGGTTATACTGGTGTTTAACAATGGAAGCGACGTTTGTAAGTAAATACATAACATTCATAGTTAAACATTTTAATCCCCAAGGGGTGAACAGAGGTGACATTACGGCACTCAATGTCACTGTACAATGTAACACCCACTTTTCTTCATTTATGTTATGAGTCCCATGTAATAGGGGGTGAGCCTATTGCTATGCACCGGGAACAATTCCAGACTCCGTGCTACTACTGAGATAAAATAAACCCCTATAGCACTTTGCCCGACCCGGCAATCGAATCCGAGACCCCTAGGCACTAGGCACTAGGCACTAGGCCCTAGGCTACTTTCGACCGGTCGGTCAACGAGGCAGTACTAAATACAATATTTTTAATATGGCGGTGCCAGTTAGGTCAAACCAGAGGGCTTAATACGAGTTTCTTATACGTTTAACTAGATCGAAACGAGACCGCTTTGCACGCTTTGATTGGTTGGTTCTTTAGAGCCGACCAGTAAGAACACCAAACGTGGTATCTTTTTTATCCCGTTAAACGACAATGAATGCACGGTTAGCGCGGTAACTGGGCTACTAGCTACCGCGTATCGTGTCGCGGATTGGATTCCCGCACGGAACAACTATTTGTGTGATCCACAGATTGTTGTTCCGGGTCTGGGTGTCATATGTATGTGAAATTGTATGTTTGTAAACGCACCCACGACACAGGAGAATATAATATCGAGGGGAAAGTTTTTTATAAAAAAAAATCGTACAACGCTCTCAGGCCAGGTAAAGTTACTAAAGCGTGTTTTTTAAAACAATTGATCGAGCCATATCACAATCCCTAGTGGACAAAAGAAGAGTAAAAATATAGTCAAATATTTTTTCACTCGTATGTCACTAGAAAGAAATAGTCTTTGTATATTCTTTTGTATTCTGTTAAAAACTCAAGTACCTAGTAGTGTTAAATACACATAGTTTGAAATTCTACAAATATATAGATAGACACATGTTTTCAATTTGCTCAAAGTCTGTTCACTGCATTTGAAGCGAGCTCCTCATAAGTTCCTTCAATGTGTGCAACATGAAAGCAATATCCGGTGATAGCTATTTTCGCGAACAATTAAATGTAGTTATAGTAAAGTTAGTGGCTGTCGTCGGCAGCCATCTTTGAGTACTTTAGTATATGAAATAATAGAGGGTTTATTTAGTAAGTAGAGAGAAATGAAGTCGATATTTTTGTTAAAGCAAGTGCGACTGTTCATCTTAGTATCGGTTGCTTATTTTTCAAATAGTAGTAAGTGTAAGTACTGTGGAAGAGGCTTTCTATTCTATCTCTGAGTCGAAAAAAATATCATAAAAAAGTAAGTATTTTTCAGCTTTCGTCAGGTCTCAGTTAATTGATTATACTGAAGAGCAGCACTTAATTATAGCAGTCCTAATTATATTTATTATTATATTATATTTATTAGTATAAAGTAGTGTGGTGTAGTAGTATAAGAAACTATAAAAGTATTTTAATTAAACATAGAAATTTTGTTTTAAAACATATTTTCGAGGTTTAACATAATAAATAACTAATTATCATTGTTTGACATTGAAACGAGTTTTCAACGAAAAAGCTTTAATGTTTCTGTCCCGTTTAAAAATTCATAATTTTGCCAAACGGAGTACGAAAAAGGTTGTACAAAAATTAAAACAAACGAAACCAACTCGTCCTTTTGAGCATTTTGTTATTCAAAGCGCAGAAATGTCGCTAATTACACAATAATCTGAGTTAAACGTGTGTCAAGTTTTATTTTTCATTTTATTTCGCGCATAATCCGTTTCGGAGTGTCCTGTGCAAACACGTGCGTTGTATATCCCGGCTGACAATTTACTGCTTAGCACCGCGACTTACCCTGTACTGGCCCACGTACCCACGTACGAAACCCTCGTATCGTCAATGTATCTACCCTCCCTTTTTGCCAAAAAAGTCCAAATTTACATTCAGTTCCAAAAGTTTGGATTGTATGTAAAAGTTACGAATTGACTGCTCGTTTTTTTTATTGTTTGTATACAAAGTGAGTATTGTTGCATTTGTTTCATTCGTTTGTTGCTGTTTTTGATTGTTAGGAAATCTAATATGAGTTTGGTCCAATGGGTTTTGTTGTGGTTTTTGAGAGCAAAAATGTGCGTACGAACATGTTGTTTACAAAATTCTATTGTGTTATGAACCGAACATTGCTGCTTAATTGACATGGTTCAATCTACATTGTATGTACCTTCCTCTATGAAATACAAAAAAAATATGACTGGGTGTCTTTATCAGATGTTATATGTATGTACATCACTATTTAGTAAGTAATGGCCCCCTCACTATAATATCATATACCTCTATAAGGTAGAACACTTGTCATCAACGTCGCTGTCTACCTGTCATAGTCTATGTGTGTGTACACGTCGTGCGCCCTGCACATTATAATAAATACAAGTAAAATAAATCCGTCTATAATTATTAAATCCACCAACATAACATCAGAAACTTTTATTTTATGTTTTAAGTCTTATCACACTATAAACAGAAAGACAAACGGCAAACAAAAACTTCGTGCATACTAAAATGGTATAATAGAATATTTTTTTAAATTAAATGTAATTATAGTTTATAAGAAAGCAAACTGTAACAGCACAATCATGTAATGAGTGATTAGTCCTATGAGAGGCATCGGTAGAGATGCATCAACAGGGAACAGGCCACACGCAGACATCTTGGTGAACGTGCGACTCAGATGCAGTACGCGTTTGCAGAGATATTTTTCACCTTCTGTAAAATATAAAAATTATCATCTTCAGCTTGATACCAATAGTTTAAACAGATAAAGAGCCAAACTTTCTTTAAATATCTTCTTTTCATGGGCAATGAGCAGACGGATTACTTGATGGACATCCCCATCATGAAGAGAGTTAGAAGTTATTTTGGCCAGGGTAGGGCTGTGTGTGCCGGACGAGTATGCGACGCGTCGGCGACGACCGCGCCTACTGGCGGTGCCGCGAGCGCGCACTAAGTTACTGAGCGACGCGCCTCTGACGCGCGCACTGCGCACGCTCAACCTCATAGCTGAAGACGTTGATATGTTTTATTGCACTCTGAGTGAATTCACTAAAGTGGCACTTCGTAGCATTTGTTATGGTTAGTTAGTTAAAAATTTAGTTTGTAATTTAGATATAAGAGGCCTCAATATCGATTTGGATAAGTCTGTAAGGATATTGCTGGGAATAAAGTAAAATAGAAAAAAAAAATGCGTTGCCAGCCTTTCGGGAGGTAGGGATTGGGGATTTGAGTATGGAAGGGCCTCCAATAAGCTTGCTCACTTGGCAAACACGATACACGCGTTTTATCACGCCGGTTTTCTGTAAGGCCGTGGTATCACTCTGGTCGAACCAGCAAATTATTAAAACTCTTCGAATTATTCTTCAGAAACTGATAAGATTCAACTCACCTGAACATTCTTCATTCATCAGAAACAATATACAGGTGGACTTAACTTCTTCTATAGATTTGTAAAAGTTCTCAAGTCCAGCACATATTTTGAGCATTACTACCACATCCTTTATCATCCAAAGTGGAGTTATAATTCCTAGGAAAGTAACTAGTATTAAACGCTGGAAAGGCAAAAAATATATTTATAATTTTCTGTAGGTGAGTATCTGATAATATGATTCACTCAGAATACGAATAAAATTAGTGTTGAATAATTTATAAAGAAGTCACTCAACATAATAGGGTACATGCCTAATTTTCATTTTAATGTCCGTCTTGTAGATTATCGTAAATCATTTGACGCGTATTTTTTATTTTCTTACAGAAACGAATACTTTCTTCGATATATTGATTTGAAATGTCGCGTGACGTCACTTCTATGAATATTTTTTACGTAGAAATGACGGTTTAGCCCCCACTCCTAAACTTTGATTCGTTCTAAGTATTGTTTTATAATACGACAAAATAAAAAAAATACGTGTCTTATATTTAAATTAATATTACCTAAATTACGGACTAATTATATTTTTAACTAGCAGCCCGTCCCGGCTTCACACGGGGTAGACATTTTTTTTTTCAAAATGAAATGTAGCCTATGTCAAATTGGAAGAATATAGCATTATATTGGTGAAAGAATTTTTTAAATCGGCCCAGTACTTTTTGAGCCTATTCATTACAAACATACAAAATAGGTACAAATCTTTCTTCTTTATAATATTAGTGTAGATAAATACCCTGTCATCATCCCAATTCTCATTTTATGACAAAGTATTTTTACTCCGATGAAGCCATTTATAGTTATTTTTGAATTCTTAACTGTGTTCTTCACTGTACTTACTATATTTGTTGGGGATGCCGAAAAATCACGCACATGTTTAATATGTGTTGGAACAATAAGTACACTGCGAATAAAAAGACTTACTATTCCCCAAGATACCTAGAAAAAGAAAAACATTAATTAAAAATCGCGGGTTACTCACGTGAATATACTGAGAAAAGCTCTACTAATTTAATATGTCTCACAATAGTTATTATAAAAAGAAAAACATTGTCATTAGGTATATCATTTCTTGGGCTCGCTGTCATTACAGCGGTAAGTCCCTGCTTTGAGGAGTGGCTTGAGAGACGCTACGGCGTCCTCACCTACCGCCTGACGCAGGTCCTCACCGGACATGGAAGTTTCGGGAGGTACCTGTGTCTGATGGGGCGGGAGGAAACGCCCGCGTGTCATCACTGCGAGAACAGCCCTGAGGACACGGTGGAACACACAGTGGGAGAATGCCCTGCGTGGGCTGAGCACCGCCGTGCCCTCAGGGAAGTGATCGGCGATGGCGACCTCTCGCGTCCGGGCCTAGTGCAGGCCATGATGCGGAGCGAGGGGGATTGGGATGCCGTCTCCTCCTTTTGCGAAGCAGTCATGCTAGCTAAGGAGGAGGCGGGACGCGTGAGGCAGCGAAGCGCTGCCTCCTCGCAACCCAGCCATCGCGAAGGACACACCGGGCGTCGGGGATCGCGGGACGATCTCCGGCCACCGTAAGCGCGGGCCTGCGGACGGCGAGCATGGGTGGCTCCCCGTCCGACCAGAAACAGACCCGAGCGTACGGCGCGTCGCGTTCCGCGCGCGCCTCAAAGAGCCATCAGACCACCACAGATGGGGCCCAATAGGGCCGATGCCGATTCGGAGTCGCGGAGAACCTAACGGGTAACCGGGGCTCCGGCTCGACGTGCAGGAGAAGGAACGGGGTGGTTTTTAGTCAGTAAGAGTCTGACACTCCCTTCCGCCTCACCCAGGCGGGAGCAGTAAGTCGATGATTTTCCCCCCTTAAAAAAAAAAAAATACCTACCGCTTGACGCAGGTGCTTATCGGACACGGAAGTTTCGGTAGGTTCCTGTTAGGGCAGGAGGAAACATCCGGGTGTCATCACTGCGAGGATCACCCGGAGGACACGGTGGACCATACGGTGGCGATCTGCCCTGCGTGGGCTGAGCACCGCCTTGTCCTCAGGGATGTGATCGGCGACGGCGACCTCTCGCGTCCGGCTCTGGTTCAGACCATGGTACGGAGCGAGGGGACTGTGATGCAGTCTCCTCCTTTTGCGAAGCGGTCATGCCAGCTAAGGAGGAGGCGGAGCGAAAGGGAACGAACCTCTTCATGCCCCGGCCGTCACAAGAGACACTCCGGGCGTCGGGGATCGCGAGACGATCTCCGGCCACCGTAAGCACGAGCTTGCGGACGGGGAGCACGGGTGACTCGCCCTGACCAGAACCGGGCTCGAGCGTACGGCGCGTCGCGTTCCGCGCACGCCTCAAAGAGCCATCAGACCACCCCAGCTAGGGCCCAACAGGGCTAATGCCGATACGGAGCCGCGGAATACAGAAAAAACATTGAATGATTCACCCTCTCAAAATAATAGAAATGATATACCTTTTTTTAGAGGGGAGGAAAATCATCCAATGACTTCTCTCGACTCAGACTCTTACTGACTAAAAACTACCCCGTTTTCCACTCCTGCTTAGCCCCGGAAAGCCGTTAGGTTGTACGCTCTCTGGGTATTTTTCTCAATTTAATACGTTTACTTTGGTCAACCGAATAGGAGTTGGTAATACTCATCTTCTCGATTCAACTTGATAGTACCTCGCTATCGTCTCCAACGATTGATAAAAGCGGTTATTAAAAAAGTTCGTACATGCGTACAAACTTTTTAAATTAATCTATAATAATATTTATTGACTAT